ATCAGAAAAAAGCTTTTTGTTTCTAGTTTCGTGCTTAGTAGTACGTGTACTAGTGGAAAATATTATATCATTTTCTAGCAGTGCCAGTACATTCAAGACATCTTACATGACTTCTAATATCTTCGCTCTTGGACATTCTTTATTTTTTTAAATTTAATAATACTTCGTCTATCCTGTATTTTTGTGTGTTTGACAACTCTTTTGTTTACGAAAAAACAAAGATTGAAATGATCGATACTCAATAATTTTCTCATTAACTTTGAAAATACATGAGCCATAAGAAAATGACACTTGACGCAAGTCTTACATAACCATTAAAGATATCACTCTCGAAGAAAAAAACAATTATTGATAGCTGATCATATTTGACAACTTGGAAAATCAAGAACTTTCGAACATAAAGATATGTTTGGTTATTTATTTTTAATAACAATTTTTCAGACGAAACTTCATCCGTTCTGATGTATATCGTTTTGTATGTGAGGATATATCAACATCGATAGTTGAAGGAAAAATATTAATAAAAATTTATGATTGAGAAAGTTCAATAAAAATAGAGTTAAAATTACAAAAAGTCATTAGCGATGAATGAGAAAAAGGTTTTTAATATGATCACAATTTTATTTTTTGCTTTATATATTTACTCTTCGCTGTAGAACTATTTTAACCAATGAAAGAATTACATGGACTTTCTGAAAATTTTATATTTTATTCATGATTTGGTTTATGGATGCTCATCGATTAGGTCAGATCGAGCTAAACTCAGTCCATTGAAACGGTCTAGATACATACTCCTGTCATATAGAAAGGTTGATGGTGAAAATTAAAACAACGTCTATAATTAATTTTAGTGTGTTTGCAATTAGTTTTTGGTTATTTTGAGTTCTAACAAAATTCTATCGGGCAAGAACATGTCACTGGAATACTATAAATGTTCTTATTTGTATTTTAGTGCTTTAAAAATACATTTGTACCTAATCTATCACAATTGAAATGTATACCTATGCTTGAAAGTGATATTAATCAAGCAGGATTATCAAAGATTAATCATGATAGAATATCGAAATTATTAATTCGTCATGAAAATCCAATGATTGAAATGATGAATGAACAATCAAAATATGTTAGAAAATGGTTTCTATTTATTGCTGTATTTGCACTTATTTTAAGTAAGTTAAAATAATTAAAACAGTATTATTTTTTTTAGCTAAAAATATCTAGTTATTTTCAGATATCTTATTGGTTTTTACTATCAATTAATTGTTGATTATTGTAAACGAAAATGTTGTACGAATTTGTAATTTAACTTTTTTCATCTAATCTATATTCTATTTATGTTTACATCGAGATTCGCATTCGAGATGAACTAGAACAAAGAACAGAGCTGGACAAGTACGATAAACCGACGCGATTTTAGAGTTTTTACGGACATTAAACTTGAAACCAATATGTTTATTTTGTTAAAAATGTTCAACAGATATTTGTCAGACAATCTCAATGACAGGAGGTTCACAATACCGAAACAAAATTGATGAAACTCGAGAACGAGTCTATACTTTTCATTTATGAATAAAAAATTTAAAAGTTCTCTTTACCACCAGTACAAATGTCAGTTTTATTTTTGATCAATGACATTCCAGACATTCTGTTTACACTGAAATCTTTAATGTAAAGAATAAAAAAAAAAGAAGATTTCTCGATATTGATTTAAGAATTCTTGCATTCATCTGATGATTTACTGATTTCAGTTCCAGTTTTTTCGAATTGTGAATAAAAATTTCACTTCTACGAGAAAAAGAATTTATTTTTCTTATACTAGAGTACACAATATTTTAAATATGTTTATTTGAAAGATTGATTTTTATGAAAGTGTACAATTATCTTTATCGGATAAAGATAATTCTTGTTCAGCTAATAATTGTATCATTTCATCGGGTGTTTTTAATTTTTTTCTTGATTCTATTGTATTTTCATTTTGTGTCTTTGTATCAAGTGTTATTTGAGTATAAATTTCGCCTAATGTCATTGGTTGTTTGATAGTTTCATTATCATGTTGTGAACCTAATGTTTTAAGAAGTATTCGAGTATTAATAATATCAAGTTTATCAAATAAATATTGAATAATAGATGAAGATTTGTAATGAGAAAATGTTTGAGATGAATAAGCATTAAATGCAGCAATAATTGGTTGATGTGATAAATGATTTCTAAACAAAATAAAGTATAATTGAAAAATGATAGAAAAAAATATAATCATACAAATTAAAAAGATTATTTAATGCTTTATCTGGATGATCTTTGCTTAGATTTTCTGCCTAGAATTATTTTTGAAAATCTTTTAATTAAAATAAAAATATTTTAAACTCACATCATCAACGATAATTATCGAATGAGAATATGGTTTAAGAATTTGAAGAAATTCTGATGATGAAAGAATACGAATTATGTCAGATGGAAAATAGATTAAATTTTTTTGTTGAAGTTCATTTATCAAATAACGAATATAATATGTCTTTCCTTTATTTATAAAAAAAACAATAAAATTTATTTTCTTTATCTTTTTTTTCTTTTACCTGTTCCTGGAAGACCATAAAGAAGAATAATTCCTTTCCATTCGATTTTATTTAATTGTTTTAAAATTTCATGATGAATAGTAATAAAATCTTTGCCATAGCTCAATGAAAGATCATAAATAAATGGTTTTTTAATATTTATTCCATGAAGATAATAACCTTGTTGTGGATATTTATATACTACCTAACAAAAAAAAAGATAAGATTCTCAAGTGGAAATAAAAATTTAACAACGAATTTTTCTTTTTTGACTTATTTTAACGGTAACAACCAGAACAAATCAAAGAAAATGTCTCTAGAAAAGAGCAGCTGCCTAATTCGAGTTCGAATATAAATGGAGAAAAGAAAAACTAAAACTACTCGATAAATTTAGGAATAGATTTAGTTTTAGTTTAACTTTCTGATAT